CCGACGCCGCAACTCCACACTGCAAACTCCCACTCGGACAGGCGACCACGGTGCGACATTATGAGCCGGCGGAATGAGCGAAGCGATTAAATAATTTGTCGCTCGGAAGGTGGACGAGGTGATGACGACAAAGGGTCCCCTTGCTTGCTGCTCCTCCGCACGATGAGGCGCTCTACTGCAGCAGGGAGAAGAGAGTCATCGAGCTTGAGGGAAAAGACCAAGCAGCACGTGGAGGAGCTCGAGAGGCAGTTCGGCTGTTTCGGTGGCCAAGTGGAGCAGTGGGTCGAGTGCCTTCCCCGTGGAGGCAAAGACGATCAAAGGGGCCTCGGTGGTGCTGCAAAAGGACGGCTACAAGTTGCGAAAACTCATAATGGCGATGCCGACCAAGTACCTCTGGGGCGATGTACGGAGACGAGGTGGTGACTGTGGGCTCGGAAGTGGAGGGGCGCTCGCGCTCATGCGAGCGCCTGGGATGGATGTGCAGACGGCCAGGCGCGATGAGAGTAGTGCGTTTTCATCCGTTTCGCTCCCAGAGTGGATGTGGGCGTGGATTGCTGCGCCGGCGATTCCAGCGGCCACCGCGTGGAGCTTCCTGGACCACGATATGCGCTCAAGATTACAAGGGTGGTCTCTGGTGTGTCCGTTCTATACGTGCTGCCCATGGGTCTGTCGCATGCGGTCTACATCCGGATATGCACCCATCGAGGCGATTGGCCGCGCACTCGTGAGGTCGGCGGGGCCAAGCGCGAGCAGGTGTTCACTCGTGATGGCGACCTCCCCGACGAGCCGGCGATAGAGGACGTTGAATGGGTGGCGGAGAAAAAGAAGAAGCAGCGCAATGGGCGACGCCAAGAGCCGGGGCTCTCGCCTGGGCAGTTCTGCGAGAAGGCTCGGTTCTTAAAGCGAAAGCGGCACCGAGTTATCGTTGTGCTTCATGCGTTCGATGGAGGCCGTTGGAGATTATATATACAGCATTATGTGGAAGAGTTGGCGGACGAATGTGGGTTGCCCATTCTCTACTTTGAAGTAGACTTGGCATTTGATAATCGCTGGGACCTGTCAGGCCCTTCTTTGATAGCGATGTTGATTGAGATGGTGAAAGATGGGGTAGTCGATTTTCTCTTGGGTGTTCCCCTGCGTTCAACGTGGAGCCGAGCTCGATTTCGACCTGATGGCCCGAGGCCACTTCGTTTTCGGCGACGACACTTGGGGCGATCAGATCTGACCGAGCCTGAGAAGGCCCGCGTGACATAGGCCAATGTCTCGTTACTCAACTTCTTGGGATTGCGCAGCGTGGAGGAGCAATGCGGAGGCGCGCGACTCATGGAGCGCCCCATGGAGCTGGAGGAGGAGCGCTAGGGGCCCCAGCATCTGGGACCTTGGCGCCATCGAGGGCATGCTGGAGCGGCACGGCGCGAAGGCAACGAAGATCGACAAGTGCATGTACGGGGGCTGTCGCAGAAGCCGACCACCTTGGCCTCCACCATGAACGGGGTCGGCGAGCAGGCCCCGCGGTGCGACGGCAAGCACCGCCACGGGTGAGCGCGCGGGAAGAATAACGAGGGCGTCTTCCTCTCGCGCCAACTCCAGACGCATCCGCCAGGCCTGCGTCGCACGATCGCCCTGCGCGCGGCGCGGACAGCGCGGGGGATGCTCAGCGCTGGGCGCGGGCCGGGGGGTGGCTCAGGACAGAGCGCGAGAAGCCCCGTCGCTCGAAATGGACGCGCGAGACGGAAGAGGAGGACCTCTACGTGCTGAACAAGCTCTACCGTCAGGGTGGCAGTGCGCGAATGCGCCCTGGCTATCGGGCGGTCTACAAGCACGCGGACCATGGCCTGAGCACCGCTGCTTGTCCTCGAAGAAGCACGGCCGGCAAGGGCGCGGGGGAGATGATAAGGAAGATCGTCGACGGCTGGGAGGAGGTTGGGTTTGTGGTGACCGAGTGGGCGGTTATCACGGAAGGCTCGAACATCGCGGGCTACGAGCTGCAGCGCCCCCCCCTCGCATGAAGCTGGCCAGCTCCAGGGCCAGCTACTTGGAGGCGGCGCTGACGTGGACCATGGAGACGCCCTACGTGGACGCCGAGCTCCCGAGGGTGGGGGCGCGGCTGCGGGGAGCTCTGCTTCGGCGCGCCCTCGTGGCAGCGCCAGCTGCAGTATCCGACCTGATGGAGAAGAAGCAGGGTCAAGCGGTCCGATGGCGGGCCTCTGCGCGGCGGGAAGTACGCGTCATGCGTGACCTGGTCCCGATGATGACCTGCGCGCTGGACTTCGCTGCAGCCCCCGTCCTCTTCGCGTCTGACGCGGAAGGCGCCGGCGATGCGGACTACGGCGGCCGCGGCATTGCCGGGGCGGCCATCGCCGAGGAAGAGTCGGAGAGGATGATGGGCGCAGGCGCCGGGCCATGTCGCGCAGCGTCGAGGCTTGACGGCTCGGTGATCCACCTCAGCCGCGCAAGCAAAGAGCTGAAGGGGCGCATCCCGGCCCCGCGCATCCCGCGCGAGCTGCTGCAGATCCCGCAAGATACGCGGAGCGACCTCTGCTCGGGGAGGTGGCGACAGCCTGGCCGCATCATCCTGGGCGAAGGCCGCGCCGTGGTCTGGCTATGTCAGGGCCTGTCGTGCTTGGCCGGCGCCCATGGTCACGCTATATCTAACGCGGAGGATGACGGGCCACTGGCGGCAGCAGCGGCGAACAGGCGATCCTCGGCCCCGCGCTTGAACTACCTGCCGCGGAAGGTTGGTGCACCATCAGTGGCTACGGGCATCAAACTACACTTACCCTGGGTGAACACCGCACGGCAGACAGCAGATGCGTTGCCCTGGAGAAAATAACGCTGGAAGGGCGAGACCACGTCGGTTCGACCCGGATCGGGCTGCCAAAGTATCCGAGAAGTCTCTTAATATTTATCGGAATGCTGGGCTCCAGTCCTCACCCTGGGCGCTCCAGCGCGGCTTGCCTCCCAGTGGGCCAGACCAGTGGGGCGATCTCGTGGTTGAGTTCATAATAGTAATATCGAACACCTCACTCCAGCGCAATTTGAGAACGTTGTTGCGTCAGTTGAGTTCTTCCTCGGATGACGGGCTAGTCGCTGGTATGGCGTCGATTGCAAGTTAGGAGAGAAACGCAGAGAGAAAGCACGCGGTGCCCCTGGGGAAGTTACCTGGGGAGCTCCCAGGGGTGCACCTAGGCCCCAGCGGACATCCTCGCTCGGGTCTCGCTTTCATCGCGCAGTGCCACGCGGGCCCTCGGCCCTCGGAGCTCTTGGGAATACAACCTCATGATCTGCTTTGTCCTCGAGACCTGGGTAAAGATTTAGGCCCTGCATCGGCACCCATAGCACTAGCTCCTCGTAGAGGGGCCAAGCTCAAGACGCCCCAGGCGGCCTGTATATCTCAGGAGGACAGGGGCATCATGGAGGTGCTCGAGGACATCACGAGGGCCACCCCGGCTGGCACCCCGCTCTCCCCCCGCGGCCTGGCCCAGCACCGCAAAGGGTTTGCGCGGCAGCTGCGCCGGCGCAAGAGGAGCTGTCGCCAGCATTTTCCAGCGCACGTTTGGGGAGCGACTCTATATCAGGGGCATGGCTCCGAAGAGCATGACCAGGTGCAATGGGCAGTGGGTCAGGGGCCCTACTCTGGAGGGATCAGAGAACGCGCCCCCGCTGCTGGCCACGCCAATTTCGCCGAGCAGTTGGGCGCAGGCGAGCGCACCTGCGTCGAGGGCCACTTCGAATCTCAGCGGTGCTCGCGCCGCCGAAGAGCAAGTCCCTTGGCGCACCCCCGCCGCCGACGGCTTTGGCATCGGCGCCGCTGGAAGCGGCTGCATCTGCAGTTCGCGGCGCAGCCGCCGAGCCCGCAGCAGCAGCCCCGGTTTCAGAAGTTGAGTTGCATGAAGGCGGCTGCCAACTGCAGCGCGGTGCTGGAACCTTGGTTTGGATCGTGATTCTCCCCCGCCATCATCCTCATGTTGCTCTTTGTCTCCTTCCCTGCGGGTATCTTTCCCAACGTGTCCAGGAGTGCCGAAGCTGGAGCAGCCCAGGTCGAGGGCGCGGCAGGGGCCGGTGGCGCAGCAGCGCTGGCGGCCAGAAACCCTACGCTGGCCGTCAGGAGTGGCGCTTTCGATTGCATGGAATTCGGCTTCTTTGGCGGGCTTGCTCGGCTGCCGCCTCAACGCGACGGGCGGCCGCTTCGCCGTGGAGATCGGCGCCCGCTCGCGCCCAGCCATAGTAATGGAGGAGGTCCCGAGCCGTTGGCCGTGGAGCGGGCTCCATCCATGCCGCTTCTCCCAGGTCGCCGGTTGCTGCCGGGATCTCCGCTCTGTTCAATTTCGCTGAAAGCTTCTTCGCCTGGGACTGGGAAGCGATGCTGGTGGATGCGGCGATCCTGGCCATCCGCTACTACTTTGCCTTTGCGCGATTGGGCTTTGAACTGAAATGGGCTAACCCGTCGAGGGCCTTGACTGGTGCCAACCCGGGTAGTGCGCTCGAGCGCATAGCAGCCCGTCAAGGACGCCATCGAGACTGCAGTGGGCGCGACGGCTTTGAGAGCGCCGCTGAAGTCGCAAGAGGCGCTCCAGTAACACACCACACGCCCGCCCCTGTGGTTTCGCATCGGCCGGGGTGCTTATTCCCAGTTCGAGTTATTGAAGTACGCGCGCGGGCGGTGGCTCTGAGGTGGGCAAAGCCATCGTTGTCGAGGGGCCCGCGAGGTGGAAGGTGGCAAACTCAGAGCGTTCCTTGAGTGATCGAAGTTAGGAGATCAAGGGACTGTCCCTTGAGTTGCGGGATTCAGTTCCATGTCAGATTTGACGCCCTCGATCGAGGGGGGAATGAGCCATCGAGTTGCGGCGCGTCCAAACTAATAATCGTGCGTGAAATAGTTTTGGCCCATCCGCGTTCTGGTGCAAAATAGCGTGTTGCTGCATGCGTTTCTCTATTCAGTCCAGGCTTCGCCTGTTGCGCGCCCCTTGCGCAGGCTTCGCCTACTGCGCGTTATATCCCCCTTTTCCTCCGCCCTTCCCCTGCTCCGCGGGCGCGGGTGTGGGGGTTGGGCGGGTTGGTCCCCGAAGCGTTTTCGGAACCTTGCTCAACCTGGTGCATCGCGTGCATGCATCACGCGCGCTCGAGGGGCCCGCTCATCTTAGCGGGGTCGGAGCACGGCGGCAGCCAGCTCAGAAATCGTAGAAGAAGAAGAAGAATAATAATAAGAAGAAGAAGAAGCCGAAGACGACAAAGAAGACGTCGAGTCTCCCTGACCGCATGGATTCTCGCATGTCTTCAGCTCCTCCGCCGAATCTGCGACCAGGAAGGATGGCTTGATCAGCTTGCAGCCGTCAATACTTAAGAACTCCACTTGAACCCTTTCTCCGACGAAACCACGGACGCAGCCCACCAGCCAATTTAGCGCCGACGTAGCGAGGCTGCGCGGGCGCACCAAGTCACCCACCTGGAAGTGCTCGTCCTCGCACTGTGGGGGGTGCTCGGGGCCGTCGTCCTTGTCCCGGTCGCTCCGTGGTACCATAGGCGCCGCATTCCCAAACTTGGTCTCAAGAGCCTGGACCTGCATCCCCAAAGTATTTAGAAGCTTAGCAGGGGCGGCACTCACAGCTGACAGACATTGTTCGGCCACGGACCGCTGGTGGGCCGTGAGAGTGTCGGTCAACCCCGGCTTCAGTTTGTCCATAGGAGTCTCCAAAGATTGGCTGGTGGCGCCCAAAATGTGGGACTTCATTTTCTCAAGCTGGGGCGGCAGCCGACGGGTGAGCGGAGCCTCGACCGCTCTGGCGAGATCAGCTTGCAGCTGGGTGACCTGCGACGACACTGCAGCAGCTTTGTTATCCACATGGGCCATCAGCGCCGAAGAAGAAATTGGGAAGGGCCACCATCCTCAGCTGCTCCAGCTCCTGGAGCAACGAAGCAATCGTGTTGTTCTGAACGTCGATCAGCTGTTGCACAGAAGAATACCCAAGGATGTGATGGGAGCGTCCGCTGCACGCTGAACTGAAGCCTGAGAAGTGGGTGCTTTGCTTGCCGCATGGGCCTGGGCCAAGCTCAGCCAAAGAGTTCCCAAAGATGTGATGGAAGAGCACACTGCATGTCGAACTGAATCCCAAAGAGTGGGCGCCTTGCTTGCCGTAAGGGCCTGGGCCCAGCTCAGCCAAAGCACGAGAACAGTGTACCAACGTATAGCGAGGAACCACAATCTTGCCACGATCACCAGTACAATACAAAGACGAATTGTTGCGACCAGCGTTGCAAGCATCCCGAGGCACGAAATCAGCGACCAAAGGGTTGAATTTGGATACTGCTGGTGGCAAGCCCTGCCCACGAGAAAGGGCGTCGGACATGCTAATAATGTAGGGTCCCGAGCGCTCAGAAGAAGGCTCGCCCCTAATCGACTTACCATTCCCACCCCTCTGTCGCCAGCGGCGCCCGCAAACGACGGGAAGAAGCATAACCATAGAAAATGTTTCGCCGCACCAGCAGCCGCGTTGACCTTCATAGCCAGGCGAAAGATGGGAGCAGGAATCAAACCACGAAGAGACATAATCGCAGCACGGGTTAAATTAAACTCCCGTGCAGCAGCCGCCGCCGCACATGAATGAATAGCGACTTGCAAACCGAATGCCAAAAAAAAACACGGTATGGGATCGAAAAGAAGCCAGCAGCAATACAGAGCAGAAAGATAGCGCCACGTCAGCAGCCCACAGGCAGCATCGCGGGGACAAGAGGAGAGCCATGCCGAGCAAAGATGAATTGCGCAGCGGCATCTTGGCAAGCCTGGCTTGAGCCAACATGGTTACGGATGCGTGGGGTGTATGCATGTATGTACACATCTGTGATTGAGAATATATATATATATACACATATATATGTATGTATATGTATGCAACTATATATGTATAAATACTATATAAGGAAAAATATTCTCTCCAGAGCGCTCGAACCGAAACGTTATCGGCCCGTCCAACATGTCTCTCGGGAGGCTGCAAATCCACCCAGCCCTCCCGGCCTTCCGCGCTCCTTCCGCGTGGGAGGCCGCCGACTCTTACGGCCGGCACAAAGTCAGCGGAGCGCGGCGATCCACCACGCCTTAGAATCAAAAGCGCGCGGCCAAACGCCGCCGCCAGCTCGAGCGCTCTGAGGGATGTCTCACTCATCACTCATCCATCCAGCGCTGCCCGCAGGGCCAGTCGGCTCCGACCTGCTCTCGCCACGAACCCCATCATCGTCAGGAACTTCTTGCTCAGGGGCCCGTCCAGGTGCTTCGTACCGATGTCACTGATGTTCTCGAGACCTGCTATCTTGGCGACACGCAGCTTCTTCTGCTGCACAGCCCTCTGCAGCCACAGCAGAGGTGTATGAAGGCGTCGAATTCGTCCGACTCCACGACGTTCAGCGATGCCCTTGCCCGCCGTCGCGTCGCACTTCAGCACGATCTCGAGATCTACACCCATGTCCTTTGCGAGAGTCTTGAGGCCGAGCCCAATACTGCCGCCCTTCACCAGCGCATGGAACTCCGCTTCTCCCGTAGATAGAGCATTGAACCCTTGGGTTGTCGAGCTGCTTCTAATCCAATGCTTCCCAATCATCACCGTACACGATGAAGTAGACTTACTTGTCCTCAGGCAGCCTGCGAAGTCATTGTCCGTGTAGACTTGACCAGCTCGCCGATCTGCCTGCCGTGGATACTCAACCACCAGCCTCGGGGTACCTACAAGGTACCGACCGATCCGTTTCATGGCCTGCCGCCCGCCAATCGTCGGGTCCTGCATCACTCGTGCTGATTCCTTCGCCGCGTACTGTAGATCAGGTCGATCCTGCGCCAGGTATTGAATACGCATGCACACTGAGCGGTAGATGACCCGCTCTCGTCCTTGTAGTGCTTCTCCATCCAGCTCCTGCCTCTTGATCCCCGGCGTGACCACTGGCTTGCTCTCTTTACCCTGCAGGCCCAGTTGGGCCAGGATGATCTCCACGTGCCTCGGGTCCGCCTCGTACTCGATCTTCTCCACGTCGTTGCCGTTCGGCCTGACCCACCTCACAATGCGATTCAGCACCACGATCTCGTCGATGTCGCCGCTCTGCGGGTCAGGCCCCGAACTCCTCTTACTTTCACGATCAGGTGCTCGCCGAGGTTCTCCGTAAAAGCCTTTGAATCCTTTCGCCCACCGAGCACCACAAAATCGTCGCCGTGCCTCCAAACGACCAGCTTGCCAACCTGGTAGATGCAAGGCGAGAGCTCGCCCTGCTTCGACTTCAGGATCCTCGCCATGATGTCCTCCACCTTCAGGTCGAAGGATGAGCCGGCATCTCTCAGCCCATACATGGCCTTCAGCAGCAGCCAGCACTCGTCATCCTTGCACTCTAGATCCTCCGCTGGCGCCTTCAAGTACACTGGCCTCTGCAGCTCCGAGTGTAGATGCGCGGTTGAGATATCGATGAAGGTCAGCACTCGATCTTCATGCCGCCCTGTCATCGCCATAGACAGAATCATCCTCAGGCCCTCCAGCGGCGGGGTCGCCGCGAAGGTCGCCGCAGCGCCCTCAGGCCCAAGGGTGCTCAGCTTCCGCGTCTCTTTCGCCACCAACCGACTCCGTAGTTCTGGTTTCTGGTCGTCTCCCTTGTCGGTGTCGGCCCAGCCGCTTGAAAGCGGCTTGGTTCCCGTCACTTGCAGCGCCTCGGAAATCTTTCTCCTCGCAAATACTCCGAGCCTGCTCATGTAGCCCATCTCGTCCATGCGTGCGTTCTTGACGCCTATCGGGTCCAGCACCGCACCGCTGATCCCGTCGTAGAAGGTCGCCATCTCCTCCTCGGTCGCCTGGTCCAGGATCTCTTGCTCCTCCGCGGTCTGGCCAACCTCGGACGCATGAATCCCTTCACCGATCTTCAACTCGTTCCTGATGCCCTTAAGGATTGCCTTCACCAGCCCTAAGGGGTACCTCTCAGCCGCCTTTGCCCTCCTCTCCAGGAGGTGCACGTGCTCGTGGGAGCCGTCGCACACGATCCCCACCTGCATCGCCACCTCGCGGCTATTCGTCATCCAGCCCGTCGGCTTCGCCACGAGACCCTCCGAGCCGTCCGGCCAGTATGACTTGGCTCCGAACACACACTGGCTGCCCTTGACCACTATGACGCTGGGCAGCTCCCTGATGCTCTTGATGCACTCCTCTTTCAAGCTTGACGCCATCCAAGGGTGCTCGAACAGGAACCACTTCCCCCTCGAATGCTGGTAGGCCGCCAGCTCCATACAGAAGCCCAGGAAGACCTTGCACTCCGCGAGCAGCCTCTGGAACTTGACCTCGTCGCGCTTGCCGCTCGCCTTCAGCAACTCCATCAGCTGTGAGAACGGTGTGCATACAGGAGACATGATGAGGAAGGCAGGGTCTCCCCTCAATCTCCGCTCTCGCTCGCTTCCGCTGCTCCTCGAGCCTGAAGTCCCAGCCCGTCCTGAGGTCCATCGCCACTCCTGGCTTCAGGTTGAACTTTGGAGCTCCCTTGGCGAACTCCTCCTGCAAATCCAAGCTGTCGAGACCAAGCTGTTCCAGCAGCGCGCCAATCTCCGCCGCGTCGCCCATGGCCACGTCCGCCGCCGCCGGAGCGCTTCCCGACGCTGTCCCAGATGAGCTTGGCGCCCCTGGTTCCCCGACTGGTCCACGATCACCGACTCGTCCTCGCTTGGCTCCAGGTTCTTCGTCTTCACTTCTCTCGGGTCGCTCACCAGCTACTCGCCGTAGGTGAGCCTCTGCCACCCGAGCTCCACCGCCGAACGTCTGGTCGTCCCCCATCGCTTTCTCGATCCTCGTTCGGCATTCCTCGTTGTGCATGATCGCGCGCTGGTTGTCCCGAGCTGCTGCGCAGCCCCTGAAACCTGGGGTGTATCCGTAGCGCCGCAGCTCCACGTCCTTCCTGATGTAGACCCTCCTCGGAGCAGGATGACCCACAGGTCCTGGAACAGGGGGCAGATCCACGTCCGGCACCACCTGATCCGCCACCACCTTCGCCATGGCAGGTGGTACTTCGAGTCCTTCACCTTCTTGACCAGGAACAGGTCGCCACGGCGCGCCCTGCAGCTCTGAGAAAAGAGCCTTGTCACTCCTCGCTGCCAATGGCATCCTCTTGACGCTCCTGGCTCTCATCACGCCCTTCGGCGTCGCCACGTACACCTCGTCGCTGTCGTCGCGGATCCCGTAGAAGACGCCCTCCAGCCACCTGTCCACCAGCCTCGACTCCCTCTTGCCGACTGGCAGGTAGAACACCTTCTCGCCGAACGCCGGGAGCGCCCTCTTGTAAGCGCGCCCCTTCCTCAACTCGTACGGCGTGCGCTCGTCCGAGCCCACTTGACCTCGATTGTGGACTGCTGCGCCGTGCCTCACCATCCACGGCAGGCACGGATGCTTCGGGCCGATCGTGACTCCGTGCATCTCCTCCACCGCGTGCTTGAGGGTCCTCGTCAGGCCCTTCATATCCCTGACAGCCCCTTCAGCTAGCCGTTCGACTGTGCCTCTCCAGCCGCCGAGGTCCCCAGCAAGCACTCCACGCCGTGGTCCTTCTTGAGCCTCTTGACGGCCTCGCCCCTCAGGGCGACGATGCTCGGCTCGTTGTCGCACCTGAAGACCACCTTCTTGTAGCCGCCGTTGACCGCGAACTTCACCAGCATGTCGGCGCTGTGCGTGCGCGCCGCCCCCTTGCAGGTCAACACCTCCGCGCCCGTGCACCTGCGCAGCGAGTCCCTCATGAACAGAATCGGGGCAGCGTCCTCACCGCTGCCGAGGTAACCGTAGTCAAACGCCACGACTGGCATCGCGTCGTGCGTGTGGCTCCTCGTCACATGAGGTTCAGCTCGCCCGCGTCCTGCAACACAGTGCCTGCAACAAGCTCGATACGGCGTGTGCGACACTTCATGGTCCTCTCGCTCCTGCTGGGTCGGCTCGCGCGGTCTCCGCGCCGCTCTCACTGCCGGCCGCTCCCGAGCAACCACCGGGGCAGGTGGTGGAGGTATCGCTTCTGGTTGAACAAGTTTTTGGACTGGCTCTGCTGCTGCTGCCGCCGCAGCTGCCTGACTCGATCCAGCTCCATCACCTGCGTCATCGCTCCTCACCATGCAAATCTCCTTCGGCTTCTTGCCGCTCGAGCTGGGCTTGGACCAGGCCTCCGCGCGGCCGATCACGTTCTTCGCCTTGCTATACGGCATCAGCTCCATCTCCATCTCGCACACGCTGTTGCGCCTCTGGAGCGGTGTAATCACCCCTGTCGACTTGTTCTGCGCGTAGCTGCCGCCAGCATCAAAGACGACCCGATGGCCTGCGTCGACCATCTCCGAGACAGAGGCGAGTGCCTTGCTGACCTTCGCGACCCTAGCCTTGATGCCTCTCACCTGCGCCGAACCGTCCGAGTTGCGCACCGACCCGATGAGCTCCTTAGTGCCCTCGTCGGCCACCCAGCCGCCGTTCGCGGTTCCGCGGCCTTCGCCCTTCGCACTCATTTCATTCTCGTACGTCGGGCAATCCGGCGCCAGCTCTGATGGCACGACCGTCGTAGCTGCACGCGAGTCGACACCGAGCACCATCTTGCGGGATGCCCGCGCCGTGTCCGCGCCGAGCCTGCTCAGCTCGTGGTCCAGCTGGTCGTCCACCAGGCCGCCCTCGATCAGCAGGTCGAAGGCCTTCTGCGCCACGTCCTTCTCGTCGATCGTGAACGGCGCGAGCCACAGCCCGCGCAGCGCCTTCTCGGGTTCCGGCTCCATCATGCGCGGGTTGTTCTTCTTCTTCTTCGGGCAGTCCTTGGACATGTGCCCGTGCTCCTGGCAGTTGAAGCACTTCGGCCCCTTGC